CCTGCTTAAATAATTACAATGCTCATTATATACTTGAAATATAAATGTCTCATGAAAACTCACAGATACATAGACACATTAGGTAAAATACTAGATAAAAATCACCCATTATACCGTTTAGGTAGGTCAACCATTCTCCATATCCACCTATGCAATGTAATTTTAAGCTAGCGCACAGAAGTACACGTATAAAACGGGCAAAGCAAAAATACACTTAATAAACTTAAGTAACTTCATTTTATAACATTCTATTTTTATATAACCTTTCTTGATAGAAACGATGTGTAAAAATAAATAGAATTAATTACTTAGATGTCTTACTCGATGAATGACTTAGCGAAAGTGAGAAGAACTCGGCCGCCATCGTCGTCTGCACGCCTTGCGATGAAATTGCCTATTCAAAAATTTCCAAACAAACTAAAACTGAAAATAAAACTTTGCAATGGTAACATTTTTAACTAATATTTACATTTCGCCATCTAAAAGACTAAAATGCGATTCGAAATGTTACAAACCACACAATTACATGACCATAAAGAGGTAAATCCGTTCAATTGAAAAGCGCGTAAAACATCACTCACTAATCTTCATTAATAGACTCAACTGAATGCGCTTAACCGCTTGATTTTGAACGAACATTTTCAATTGAGTAATGTGGAAATTTCACAGGAAGTCATAATATATAAATTACGTACACTTATTGAATGTTTTTCTCTTATTTGTTCTCTGTAAAACCGAGCATGTTGGAAAATAAGTTAGCCTTTTTACCGGGAAAAATACGCAGTTGAAGCTCTTTGAACATCACAGGTCACATCTTCGTTGAACACAAATATCGTCAGAAAGTGCAATTCAAATAAAAAACTTAGCTTCAACATGATACAATATCATGAAAAGTAAATTAATAACCAGCAGCAAGCGAATGCAAAGGCGAGATAATAAGTGGGTACTCTTAGTGCATAAGAGGTAAATAAAGTGGCACAGAGCTTTCCAAGCAAAAACGTGTGAAGCGAAACGTTGTGTACGAAACTGATCATCCATTATTGATGAAATGAAGAATCTTTCAGAGAAGAAGCCAAGAAATATCAAATGTCCGCAGCCGACTAAAGGAATCGAAACTAGTTCTTCAGTGTCTAAACAGACGTTTATCAGCAAAAAAAAATGGAATGGAGACAAGTCGTGTGAACTGACAAAGTTAATTTGATATATTTGGACAGAAACGGCGGTCTAAAGTGTGGCGTAAACCTGGAGAAGCTCTTAAGGAAGTTAATATTTAGATGACAGTTAAACATGACGGGAAGATGTAGGGGAGTATCGCTTGGTCCGGAGTTCGAAATTTGGCTAGAATTGAAATCATGACAGCTGAAGGATGTATTGACACATTAAGAGTCTACACAACCTCAAATGGCTTTGGTTGATTCCGCATAACAGTGAAACTGTCGAATTGATCACTTTGGAAAAAACATATAGTATAATTGAGGATATACACTGATTAGTATAAGGTGTGAAAACACTATTATGAAAAATATTCACTATTGAAAGAAAACACAAACATACCTCGAAATTTTACAAGAAAACTGTATTCAATGGGTACTTTACACATACCTATTTTTTTTTATATCAACTGGACTGAATAGAACACGTATAGTATACGATATAAATTTTTCGAATTAATTTCATTTCGTTTGTAAAAAATAAATTCGAAAATAAAGCCGCTACCGCTCGACTGAAGCAAAATGAACCGTATTGGTACGGGCCAAATTTGAATTCGAGCTCTTAAGCGAGAATTTTGAGGAATAATTTCGTAAAGATAACGTTCAGCAAAAACGACCGGAATGAAAGGCGAAAATGGCTCCTTTTTTCAACCTAACAAAACTCCAGGAAGGTCAAAACCAGTAGCCACACTTAAACCTGATTGAAAATAGTTGCTGTTATTTGGATATAAAAGTAGATAAACCCAATGCGACTAATGACGCCCCCCTACTTAACAGAAACCGTCGGAACAAATTTATTTCAAATGCCTTCAAGGATTGATGGAGCCTTGTCGTCTTTCTAGACTCTAGCTTTTAACGTTTCTACTTTAGCAAAAGGAGGTTAAACTAAATGTAAATACTTATTCTGTGTAAGTGCTGTATGCCCATTCATTTGCCCAAATAAAATAAATTATATTAAGTACAATATTGAACATCGATACTTCTCAAGAGACACTTAAGTAGTCATAGTGTTCATGTATTAAAATACGCTTACGTTGGAAAAAAAATAAAGTGAAGCGATGGGATTTGAATATGTTAAGGGGTGTATGATGCAACTGCATAATAGTGAGATGTTAAAATGAAACCTAAAAATGTAGTCGTAGTTTGAGACACAAGAATAGAGAATATAGAGGAAACTGAACAACTTATGTAAGATGTTTTCCTGATTGACCAATTAGAAAAAAAAATCAGCTCGCCGAACAACTCTGTCGAATCTGCCAAACAAAACCTGTGGGAAATCAGAAACACTATTTTATTTCTGTAACTATTTGCCGTGAGCTTTTCAATATTTTCTTTACAAAAACTATAGAATTTATATTAATACAGAAACCATTATTGAACCAAGGTATGAAAAACCTATAAACAAAGAATTTAATAACCAAAGGCGAATATCAAACAGTCCAAACGAAAAACGCTGAGTGTAGTACTACTGTTCAAAACTGCTATACAACTCATACATAACATCTGTGTTATACTGGCCCAGGATAATAAACATTATTCCAGGCTGCAATATACATCCAAAATGTTACAAATATCATCTACAAACGAATTCGTCACAATGGGACCACATTAGGCTATCAAAGCGGACAAGAGTTTGCATACGCTTACATGCGTTTAATCAATGACGCTGTCCAATTTACTCGGCAATAACAGTCTATTTGCATAGGGCTTTCAACTAACTAACCACTCACACGAGCCATGGCCAATTTACGTTTTAGTAAATTCTGAATATATATATGAAAATGTTCCGAGAAACTAAGGCAACCACGACTGCTACACACAAATTATTGTTTATAAATAAAGATTTATAGTTATCAAGTAAGGTGTAAATGGAGAACCAAGAGTAAGATCAAAAAACATTTCTCAACATCTTACGGCATCGCTAGACTTGGCTTTAATTTTTATGTTTAACTTTTTTTTGTTAAGGAATTAATGATGTTTATAGGCTGTTGTGCAGATTGTTGCTCTGATTCGTGTGTTTTGGATACAATTCTAACTTATAAACCATTTATAATAAAGATTTATAATATATTAATGTTATAGTTGTTTAGGTTAGGAGCTAAATAATTGTATCGGGCTATGTAGCTCCATGTCAATATTGCAAAGAGTTATTTTTAAATACACGAAACCTCATAACACAAAGTACTGTAATCAAGAATTTCTTTATTTTGCTTGGCACAGCAATTAATTACTCCATAAAAATAAAATACTGCCCAAGTAATTTAGTCAATAATTTATTGCGCGGGTGTTTAAAAAGTTGCCTAAACAATTACGTCCTATACTTAGTGGCAAAAATCACGGCGGTAGCAGCGGTCTTGCGTATTGTAAAGACTTTTTCATGCAACAGAATGCGCACATAGATTTATAATATATTATGATTTACATATTCTCAAGCTCTGACTTCTAGACCGTAACCTATGACATAAGCAACACTAGAAATATGAAGAGGCATGGTTCTTATCTTCTCATTGTCAGCGTTTTACAATCTTATCGATCGTCTGTCACAAGTAAACGTCGTGTTATGTTCCTACAGTGTATTTGTAACGCCGGGGTCATATTTACACGTACATGGAATTTGTTCAATTGCTTAATTTATGTGAGTGAATAGGTACGTAACTTATGGCATTTACGTTTTTTGTGCTTGTTTATAGCATTTCGCAAGCCATAAACTCAAAAATAAACAGTTAAAATAAAACAGTTTAAAACTTTCGACTGTAAGGAGCCTTTCTTCAGTGACGAGAATAATTCACAACGTTCGACTTTAAGCTTTAAATATCTATCGTATTCCTTAGAAAAGTTTGTTTGAAGAATTCGGTAATCTTTATGGAGATCATTGGAAAACTTTATTTTAGCTAGGGTTGGTAAACAAACAAGAATTTTTACGCCAATACGAACAAGGTCATCAACCTATATAACTAATTACGTTTGTGACATACTCTGAAACCTAATGTATCAATGTATAATACATTGATACAATTTCGTATCTATTTAATACATAGTTATACTATGTGAGCGCAAAAGATGATAGCTGCCGTGTTACATCGCTCATGGGCGCCTTGAAAGGAGCCAATACGTCGACAAAGCCTGAATAGTATGTGAAATACAATGCGTCGCTTTATTGTCAAGTACCAAATCGATACTAATATATATGATACGCGCAATAAATTAAGAAGTCAGACCGTACATTTACCGCATATTATAATATAAAAAAAAAACAGTAATACTCTTCTTTATTACAGAGAAATAGACGAAAGGAGATATTAACGCTGAGGACACAGTTGAGAATGTCGTACACAGAATTGACACAATTATACGGAGCACTAAGCTCAACAAAGTTAAAGTAAATAAAACAGGGCCGCTGTCAACAGGAAAACAGAAAACAATATTGTCAGATTTTTACTTTCACTCTGCCCGAGTAGTGAAAGGGATGTGAACAAAAAGCTTTCATTGACTGAGTGGGAACACCGACACCTCAGCACGTTGCAACGTGTTTCTGGAATAGCCATATCGAAATATAGGCACAATTTCAAAGTTAATTAGATTATTAGTATAGTTAATCAAATATTAATTATCTGAACCGGAGTTTATATTATAATTGGTTTTTATAGAAATACACTAAAATTTGTTAAATAATTTAGATGATAATTGTGGCATTACTAGTAACTACTTTTTAACAATTTTGTTACTTCAACGACTTTGATCGAGATGTATTTTTATGGAGCCTTATTTACTTAGATAAAAGGTAATTACCTGGTGCGGTGAAAAGGGCGGTCGAGAATTGGGAGCTCCTGGGGGTCCCGGGGGCGGGGGATAACGCTGAGAATATGAACCTGGCGGACCATAGCCACCTCCTTGCTGCTGAGGTCCACCTGGAGCACCAGAGCCATAAGGAGGGCCACCATAGCCACGCGGAGGCTGCAACAAAAACATCATATTATATAACATACACACAAGTCCATGAAACCTAAATAATTTTGTCAAATCCTACGGAAGGAAAACCCTGTAAGGAAAGCCTGGCGCCGCCGAAAGAAAACGTAGTAACGAGTAAAGTTGAGGTAAGGAAAACACCAATCCGTCAAAATGGATTAGCTTAAAAGTTAGCATGGTGATTAAAGATACTACACCGAGTGTATTTTGCCATTTTCATGTGGATTAAAACAATTTTGGATTCAAATTATTTATTTAACATACCTCTTCAACTACAAATGCAAACAGAAGACATATTCTAACTAGTTGAATGGTAATTCGTTCTTTGTAAAGGTATTAACCCACATTAAGCCTTTAATAGAGTCCATAGAATTAGCATAAATTAAATGTAATATCAATTTGCCACCAGATAACACGTTTAATAATTGACATCCGAAATAATTCGTTATGCCAACAAAGTCGGTGGCTTCAGTTTCCAGCTTTCATTTTGTGCTCAGTGATGAAAATTCAATTATTTGTACGAAGCCGGCTACAAAGAGCTCGAGTGCCGGGGATCCCAGTTTGCTTTCATCATAAATTGAAATGATTCATTGCTCAAACTATCGTCAACGGCCGAAGACCAAGGACGCCGGGAATAGTTTGATTATAAGACGAGCTGCACGTTTGGCAATTAGAATTACATTTTTACGAACATTGGGGTGTTTTATGGAGGATTCAATGATTTATGGGGGCGGCGTTGCGGGGTACGAAGCGGGCGGAGTGCGGCGAGGGTTGCGCAGGGTTCTGACGCGGGGGCGGCGGCGTGCCATTGGCCGACTCGGCATCGATCGCGCGACGAGCTCCAAGCGGCCCGCCCGCGCCAGCCAGCCTCCACCTACGTTAATAAGTAATCATCCGACCCCGCGATACCTCAGCGAGTTTTCCGGACAGAGTTGGAGCCACTGAGACGGGCCCCGTATCTTGAGTTGGCTGGAACAAAGAGCCATCGATCGGGGCCACATCTATATTGATTTAAGCAATAATTGACTCGCGGGCAGACTCACGACCCTAGCATCGTCTCCGTTCTACATGCTCAAACCGATGAGCAATATCAAACGTATTTAATATTATTTAAATGAACAATGAAGTTGTTCAGTTTCTAAGTTTATCGGAGTATACGCTATAATGGTTTCTCCTGATCAAATGTTTCAACACAGAAACCTCACAGTTGCCGTAGTGACCTACTGCCGTAAAGAGACCCTTTTGAAGATAGTGTAAAGGGGAGACGTTATTCAGTCTTTAAGAGATTACTGAACTAGCAGGAGCGTAAGTCAGTAACACTAACGAGACAAAACCGTTTTGTAAACGATGGGATTACAGGCTTATAACGTTACAAAGTTCATGCAAACCACAATTATTACAGTCGCACCGTAGCTCGGGTACAGAGATAAAAAGAGCTGTGATATCAATCTGTAACAAGTACGATACACGGTATAATTTTGGCATTGATAAATCTTAGTTTGAAGTTTCCGAGCGCTGATCACGATAACAGCGCGAAGCCTCGCAAGAGATTATAATGTTGGATTCTTGACAATTAATGAGAACACCAAATTAGCTTATTTCGATTATAGCATTCGTAACACTACATCATCAGCTTGAGTAACGTTTTCTTTGACAGGTTTCATAAGATTCCTTAAGAGTACAATTATAGAGATAGTTGAAAGTGCCATAGTTGAAAATTCATCATCGTCGTTTTGCCTCTGGCGATATGTTACAAAGCTTATTTGCAACCTTTGTTGTGTTTTGTTTTATCGGATTACACTTCGTTTACTTTAAAAGGGACTTCACCCGGTGAATGAACACCAAGTAAGCTTTTTTACAAACATTGCAGATCAGCGATATGGTTTGCTTTAATGGTGTTGCCATTCGGATGTTTACATTTTTCTCCTGTATTAGTAGCAGAACAATGCGTTCTAATCGTTTCATACAACAAGGTATTTTATTAATCGAATGACTCCTTATTCACAAAACAAGGAAATGATTTGAAATGTTTTTGTAGATATATAAATGAAATCTAAATTAACTCAAACAATTTGAATGAGCAATCTTGTGAAGAAGATCACGCCCACAATAATACACGAATTCTAAGAATACCAGGCTTAAAATATGTGAATAAAGGAAAGTATGAGCGGTAACCAGCTCAACTGTAGTCAAAGCAAGGAATTTAACGGAAAAAGGAATTAAAGGAATAGCGAGAGAATTTTTGCCACGGAAATGCAGATCTATGTGCACTCAATTCTCCTCCGTTTCATAGAGAGCACTTTAGAACTCAAAATTCAGTATTTATATTCATTTTCATACTGGAACTCAAGTAAAATCCCTAAAATAATACAATTAAAACATTGGTCGATTAATTTACTCTTTCATTTTTCTCATTTGAAACTTAGTAGACAGTAATTTTTCACATTTTTGTTTTAAATTTCTACTAATAAGGGTTAGTCGAAGTGTTTTGAGAACGGGTTTGCATTTTATTAAATTTCGTAACTGCAGCTGAAAAAGTTTTTTTATTTATTAGTTTGATTTAATAAATTTTAAACTGTGTACACACTGTTATAATAACACACACACTCAACATAGCCCCGCACTAGGGAAACCCTGTGTCGCGGGTGCCATGGACACACACATAGACAACCACAAATTACACCCAAACTCACGAGAGAAATAAATGTAGGTCATACAAATATTTCGCCCGGCCCGGGAATCGAACCTGGGACCTCTGCGTGGCAGTCCGGCATGGTAACCGTTCGGCCACCGAGGCAGTTAAGTGTTGTTTCTGCTTTGTCACAAAATCACAAAAATACATTTTGTGTACTCCTGTATTTAAATCTGTCTATTATAATTTCATAAACCATACCATAAAGGCGCACTTTTTAGGTCTGAATCTAATTTCTATTGTCTATAGTACTTGCCAGTGAGCTGAAAAATTTCGTTAAACGAGTTTCAAAAAAAGAACGTCGTATTTTTGCCAATTAAAATATCAATTAGACGCTACTCAAACGCTATACTGCCTCCAGATTGGTTAAAATGGCCTAAAAGTCTTGCAAACCGGGCCATAACTCTTTATAAAAAAAATAGTTTCCATAGTTTCTTACTGACTTGGCCACTTCTATTTCTATGGTTTTTTGTTTTGTAGCGTTTGTATGGCTTTCGTCTAAATATATGAAGAGGCTGTGTAGTGGACCCTTGCCCTATCCTAATAAATGGATTAAAAATAATTTAAAAAAAAAGAATTGCGTTTGCTGTCATCGATTGTTAACAAAATATACATTAAATATTGGTGCTGTTTCATTATATTATTTACTCGGAGTAAAAGTATGCAATCGTTACATAATTCGATATTAAAATCTCGTACCTGTTACTTAGGCCACTCGGCATCATCAGATGTTATAAGACATTGCTACTTTATATCTAATTCTTATTTTATTTTATAATGTCACTTTATCGTTCAACTAATTGTGCCGGTGTACGGTGTTAATACACGACGTTGTAATACCCAGTTCCAACGAGTCGAAGTGCTGGTCGTGGGCGCAACATCAACAACATATTATACGGGCCATTGCTAAGTTCAGGTCTACTCTAAGGAAAACTTATTCAATGCGGGTTTAGGACTTAGTGCATACTTGAAAGCACATGCACGTCGTCGGGTTTGTTCCCAACTACCTTTCACTATAATTTTTTTTCTTCATTTGTAATTTAAATAAAATTGTAGTATTAATATCGAGTTCTCAGGTTATTCGCGATTGTTAGACATAGTAAATGGGGACCTGCAAAGAGCCCGAGACATTGGTTTTGTTTGAAAATACAAATGAACGCTATTTAGATTCGAAAAAGTAGTTTGATTTCCAATTGGAGTGTTCGTTCGTAATTTGTTGAATGAAAACCTACTAACATAACTAAGCGTGAAATACTATTTACACTATTGACAAGCGTGACTGTTTACAGAGTATTTGTCTATCTATTCGGATGCTTGTTCAGAATATGATCCCAAACAGCTGAATGAGGTCTAATGAAACTTTCAAGGATCATCATATATGTATTTCTGCTTGGATTCGCTCTTTGTTTCATTCGAATACCTTTCAGGGTTTCGAAGTTACAGGGTGTTAGCTTATATGAGAAACGAATTCATTTGTAACATTAAGAAAGAAGATATCGATAATATTAACCTTAGAGCTAAGTCCAAACTTGTGTTACCACGAATTCGTTTAACTAAGGTAAACGATTCTTTTATGGGGAACTGTATACGTTTTTACAAGGTTTCGGAGAGTATATACTAAGTTCATTATTCAATAAGTTTAAAACTTACATCAAAAGTACTTTAATTGAAAAGTCATCAAATCAAAGTCATCAATCAAATTAAAGACTACGTGTTTGATAAAGATGCTTGGAAAGACGACACTAGTCTAGATTCTACACAAATATGACCCAAAGTGTATTCCATAGCACTTAAGTTTACTCAAAAAGAGCAATCCCTAGAGTTTCTTTCTCGTTCTTCTCAGGGAAGTCAGCACAATGAATGAGCAGTACTTTAAAAATGACGTTTTCTAACGTACAAAATTTTACCTATGGAATAAATTATATTATTTTACTTTATTGGCACGAAACTTAATACAGTCAAAACGAGCATATTAAGCTCCTCCGCCAACTACCTCCGTGGCCGAATAGCTACCATGTTGGTCTGCCACGCAGAGGTCTCCGGTTCGATTTCCGGGCCGGGAAAAATATTTGTATGGTCTACGTTTATTTCTCTCGCGAGTTTGAGTGTAATTTTTTGTGGTTGTCTAAGTGTGTCCATAGCACCCACGACACAGGGTTTCCCTAGTGTAGGGCTATGAGTGTATGCGTTCTTATTATTAAGCATGACTTTTTGGGACTTTGGAACGCTCTTGTCGCAAACGGCATAGAGTTGAGTTTGAGGTCTCTTGGCCCTGCATAGAATAACAAGACACACT